ATCGTGAAAGATCATTTTGATAAACTTAAACAAATCATTAATGAAAACTCACTTACTGCGCTGCAGGTTTGGAATATAGATGAAACGGGGTTTGTTCTTGTACCTAAATTAGAAAAAGTTCTTGCAAAAAAAGGCTCACGTTAGGTTCATAAGGTTGCACATGGAAATTCTCATGAACATATCTCAGTTGTTCCAACAATCTCAGCTGCTGGATCATACATTCCATCTTTAATTATTTATAAAGGTTCTCGTGCAATTCCCGGTTTGCTACAAGGTGCACCTCCTGGAGCAGTAATGGGTTTTACAGACACGGGGTACATGCGTGAGGATCTTTTTAAAATATACTTTACCCATTTTATTAACTCAATTTCTCCAATTCGCCCAATCTTACTAACACTTGATGGTCACAAAAGTTATGTTAGCTATTCATGTGTTGATTTTTGTTGCCAAAATGGAATTCTTCTTTATGCATTTCCATCTCACACAACGCATATTTTACAGCCATCTGAAATTCCTTTTGCAAAATTAAAAAAGGAATTTGGGAAACAATGTGATAATTATCATAATACTACTAGCAAAGTAGTAACAAAACATACCTTCGCGCAACTCTTTGATCCTGCTTTTATTGATACTTACATGCCATTAGCTATCTGTAATGCTTTTAGGGCAACAGGGATATGGCCCTTTAACCCTAAAGCTATTAGCCCAGACCGTTTGGACCCTTCCCTAGCAACAGAACGATTTGATATTATGCTTTCGTCTAGTCAATCTTCACAACCTTCACAATTTATTATTATACCTTCGTCTGATCAACCTTCACGACCTATCATTGTACCTTTGTCTAGTTAATCTTCACAACTCATCAATGCACCTTCATCTAGCCAGTCTTCACAACCTATCATGTTACTCTCACAATCGACTCCTAAACCAAATCCTCATTATACTCGCACAAATTTCACCCAATTAGTAACAGAAAATAAAACACTTAAAAATGAGATTGAATTACTAAAAGCTTAATTTACAACAACCAAAGAAGAATTAGAAACCTATAAAAACCCTGGAACAAGTTCCCTATGTTCGGTTCTTAGGTACAATTTTCTTTGTGCCCCACAAGCTGTGACTTTGAATATTCCTTCAGAAATTTGACAAGAACTTGACCCCTCTTCTAAAAAAAGAAAGACACTTCCGTTTGCACAACTTCTCACCAACAATGAAAGTTGGCAAAAGTTAAAAGAAGCGAATGAAGAAGCTGAAAAAAAACTTGAGGAAGCTAAACAGAAAAAAAAATTAGTGGCCCAGAAAAAGATCGAACTGCAGCGTAATTTGGAGCAAAAAAAGGAAGAGCATGAACGAAAAAAGCGAGAAAGAGAAGAGCATCAATCTAAAACACAAAAAAGTGATAAAAGAAATAAATAGAATAAATAAATTACTTCAAATGTTTGAAAAATAAAAAAAAATTATGTTGTACGTACATACGTAATTAAGTGAAAAATTTTTTTTTCAATTTCGTCACAATACCCCCCACTACTCTAAAATCTGACTTTTGTGTTCTATATACAAAACGATCTGTACATCCAAACTGGTTTGCTAAACCACGGTAATTTACATTGAATCTGTTCTATAATGAGTCATGGTTTATATTAAGATAAAAAAAAATTAATTTATATGTTAAATTTGAAGTTTTGTTAGTAGAAATTTTAACTTTGTCACAATACCCCACCTCACCTTATATCGATTAAATGCTATATATCGATTTATATCTATATATAAATTTTGCGATGAGAATGGCTTTGTTTTATTTTTAATAAAATTTTTAATTGCTTCAAACCAAATACTTTTTTTACTTTCTCCTCTTTGCATTCATTATTTCCTTTCTTTTTAACTTTCCCTTTAGTTTGATCTTGACTGTTTTCTCCTTCTGGAATCGATTCTCTCTCTTTATTGCTAGGATTTGGCTTTTCAGGACTAGGGCTTTTCCTTTTCTTTTCTTTTAGGCCAATTCCTTTCTTCTTTTCCCATTCATTTACATATGCACATCTTGGTTTCTAAATGTTTTCATAAAAATAATTCCAAGCTAAGTTGATCACAATATTTACGTAGATTCTAAGTTCTTTCAGACTTCTTACTATTTCAAGAAGTTTTTTTGCAACCTCTTCTTTAATCAAACCTTTAAGTATGCCGGCCCTGGTTTTATTCTTTTCTTTTTCTAATGAACTCCACAAGGTCTTCCTGAGCTGTATTCTGTCAAGGCAACTGCGAGTTTCTTCAAATAGAGCTGTTTAGGCCAAGTTCAAGGCTAGTTGCTTTGCATTCTTCTATTTAATTTCATACTTCTCATATGTCGTCAAGTGTTTCTGATCTTCTTCTTCATCTTTTTCACATATTATACATGTAGAACTGTCATATAACTCTGGTTTTCTGCCTGATAATGTTTTAAGTACTGGTTGTTTCTCATGTAAGCATTTGATTAGCATATCTAGATGCTTGTTTCTCCTTAAACTTGTACATCGTATACCACTCTGTTCTTTGATCCTTTTCCATAAAATGGGCCAGTATTGGTTTTGTATACTGTTTTCAAATTCTAATTTCCTTATGGCCAAGGAAGATTTTCATTCTACTCCTGTTTTGAGATCAAGAATCATTCGTAGGAATTCTCTTATAGGGTCTTCGACTACTGTCTCTTCTCAGTATAAAGTGACGTTCGACTCCTGAGGAGGTTTTCTATAATTCTGTCTCTATCTTCTATTTTAGATCCTAATCTAGTTAATTTATCTTCTCTATTGTTTCAACTATTATTACTATAGCCTTTAACCTTTTCTAATTCTAATCGTAATTCTTTCATTTCTACTATATCTAAAATGCACTTTACCAGATCGTAATTTTCTTCTTTATACCATTGTCTTGCTGGCCTTTTTTGTTTTCTTCCTTCTACCTTCGTTATAGCTACTGCACTGTTTGTACAAATCTTGATCCTCTTTTTGCTGGGTGTAATAAGCAGTATACACCAAATTCCAAGTAACTTTGCTTTTGTAGAAGATGGTCAATTTCTTGCTCTAAAATAATCTTCATCAATTACTTCTTTCTCTTCTTTGTCTACAAGTACCCAGCTTGCTCCTATTCTGTCTAATTCTAACTGAGATTGTCTTTTACTTCTTCTTAATGATCCATTGGTATAAAATTTAAACTGTGTCAGGGAGCATTCTTGTAATTTTCTATTCTTCTCTAACAAAAAGTCCTGTATTTCTTGCCCAATTTGCTGTTTCTTGATGATTTCTGTGTCCAAACTGTGTACTCTAATTTCTTGAACTACACTTTCACCTCTTGGTATCTTCAGTTTGGAGAAGGATTGCATTGAATGTATCATTTCTAGATTAATCTTTAGAGCTTTTCCTTTTTGTTTATCAACAAGTTTTGTTATAAAGCCCTGTATTTTCTCTCTACTTAAACGGCCTTTACAAGAGTTATCCTCTTTTTCTTGGTTAAGTTCACAACCTTTGCATCTTTCTAGAGTTGTGCTTTTTGTACTTGGGTTTGTATTTGGTTTTCAATATTCTGTAAG